TGCAATTTCTATTTACAATTTTAATTGCATTTAATCATTGCATTCTAATGAATGGTCATCAAAATAATAGCATAAAGAAAACAATATAGTTATACGAATAATGTAATATATAAACAATAAACCAGGGTTATCATTAACTAAAACGAAAACTATTAAAAACATTTGTATGAACTGAAATAAAGCTGAAATAAAATAAAATACAAATATTGAATGAAAAATAATAGTAAACAAACAAAATGTTAAAAGCACATAGCAAAATTACAACAAAAAAAATTCTACAAAATTACAAAAATCTAGAATGAAAACTAACAATATAAAAATAAAAGCTAATTCAAAATATCAACAAAATGTTAACAAAAACTGTCATAGTACATAAATATACTAAAAAAAAACACACCATATAAACCATAATCTAACTTTACATACAGGCGAAAAGAGTGATAACCTGTAGCAAGTGGTATGTGTTTCTTCCCTGTGTTAGTGGAGTGTGGAGGTGGGGTGCACAGTGAATTAGAGGGGACCATCTCGAGTCCTGGGTTCCCAGACATGTCCCCTCTTGATCTGGACTGCGTCTACACCATCTCTGTGCAGCCAGGCTTCATGATCACTCTCAACTTCAGCCAGAACTTCCACATAGAGCAGGTCTACAATCAAGGACAGACATGCCTCTTCCATTGGCTGCAAGTATGCTTTGCTATATGTTATATATCTTCATGAAATATCTTCATATTTGTTCATTTTTAGGTTTATTTCTATGTTTATCTGCTTTTCAATCATTCTCAGGTGTCTGTCCAAGGAAAAAAGCCCCAAAAGTACTGTGGCGGAAAAAGCCCCGAAGTCCTGAACACAGGCGCTCACTTTGTCCAGCTGGAGTATCACACTGACAGATACGGACAGAGTCAGGGGTGGAGCTTACATTACACCACACAGAGTGAGAAAGAAAACTTTTTTTTTTCTTGGAAAAACAGTGGATACCAGAACACTAATATTATAAATCCTCAAATATCTGTGGTGCTAATTAGTCCAATTTCCTCACATCTTTTTTAAAGGGGTACAGTGTCCACATCCAGGCATTATCGGCAATGGAACAGTCACACCAAATTTTGCCCAGTACTTGTACAGAGACTACATTCATGTGCGCTGTAAGCCAGGATACAAGCTCATGATGGTGAGGTTTACAATAATGCTGATAGTAAAGCAAGAACTTTAAGGGGACATTCACAAAGAAGTGTTTTTGTGGTTAAAAATGCGAGACACGGGGCAGTGGAATGAAAGACACATATTAAAAAAGCTGATCATTTGTAGACACCGTGTCATGTGTGAGATGCTGCAAAAGATAGATACAATACATGAGCGCAACAGTAAAGCACGTTTACATAGAAAACCCATAGAAAAACAGCGCAGTGGAACACAAAAATGAATTGTGTGTGAACAGCCCCTAAGAGTGCATTAATGATTATAGACAAGGATTCGATGGGGAAATATGGTGATGATTTCATAAAGCATTTACCTTTGCCTTCTTAAAGGGAGAGAAGGAGATTTCAAGTTTTAAGTCCATATGTCAGAGTAATGGAAAATGGCATTTGACACTGCCAGAGTGCAAGAGTGAGTAAATACTCATCACCTGATTTTGCATTGGACTACACTGTATCCATTTATCATTTCATTCCTATGTATCATCCACATTACAGTTATTGACTGTGGAGCTCCAAAGCTGCTGTTGAATGGAGACTTTCAGTTTATCAGTGGAGAAAACAATGAATATCTTTCGGTCATAGAGTATCACTGCAATGAGCCATACTACAGATTTAAGGATACTGCCAAAGGTCAGATACTGTACAAAACCCACCGTTGTTCTTTGTGATTGATTGAATCATGACCTCATTTCCTTTCTTTCTTTCACTTGTGTAGTAACATACAGGTGTGCAGTTGAAAGAAAATGGACAGAAGTCAACAACAATGATATTATTCCACCTTGTTATCCTGGTAATAATTGTGGCTTGACAAACAGACAGATAAAGAGAGATTTTATTATTATTATTATTATTATTTTGCGCATTTGCACTATTATTATTTAACTTTATTTTACATTACACATATGTTCATATGTTTGTTTCTTTTTTACATTTTTTAGAGTGTGGAATGAACACAGAAGTCAGTGTTGGTGGCAGAGTCTTTGGTGGGATGCCAGCCAGACCAGGACAGATTCCCTGGCAGCTTCTCCATAAGACTCAAACCAGAGGTGGTGCATCTCTGATCAGTGATTACTGGGCTCTTACAGCTGCTCATGTGGTAGATGGACTTGAAAACATTAACATGACTTGGCTTGGTGGAATAATTAATGCTAGGAACCAAAACCCAGTCATTATGGAGGCAGAGAAGATTATAATTCACCCAAATTATCAGAAGGTTTCTTTCAGGGGTCATCAAACAAACTATGATAATGATATTGCACTGATCAAAATGTCTGCTAGAGTGCCTCTCGGTCCAAACATCAGGCCAGTGTGTCTGCCAAACAAAACTCATGAATCTGTAATGGAGGGTACAATGGGAACAGTATCAGGCTTTGGAGGGTTTAAAGATGGCTTAACAAGTGAAATTTTACAATATGGGCATATTCAGGAATATTCTTCTAAACAGTGTGTTTTCGAGGACCTGCCTGTCACTGATAACATGTTCTGTGCCGGAGATGATATTAAACGTGTTGACAGTTGTCAAGGTGACAGTGGGGGTCCTCTGTTCTTCCCCATGTTGGGTCATGGAACTAAAGAGCAGCGCTACGAGGTGAGGGGCATTGTGTCATGGGGTCCTGTAAGATGTGGTCAAAAAAATGTTTCTAAAGCTTACTACACTAAAGTGCAGAACTACCTGGGCTGGATTGAAGAAACAATGGCAAATAATTAACATCCGCTGTGCAAGATGATTTTGTCCCCTGTAAGACATAAAACAAAAATCTAATAAAAAACGAACCTCTCACTGACCATTTCTATTTATTTATTTTCTATAAAAAGGGTAGCACATATTGTAAACAAACCACAATTTAGACCTACACTATAGAAGTACTGCCTAAAATTGTGTCTGCAGACTTTAACTTTTCCCTCTGGCCTAAAAAGTCTCTCTATCACATATATTTTGCTTTCACTGTTTTTGTAGCACAGCCAAATCAAACAAATATGTCTTTTAACATGACTGTTAGACCCTTGCGCTGTCATTAGAGAGGCACCGCAAGCATAGCCATGGAAAAACTACGGAAACACCTTTTACCTTCTTTATAATTTTTGTGAAAAAGCTGTGTGTCTGCTATGGCTTTCCTTTTTAAGTGTTTCCTCACTTCAAAATACTGTAAAATCTAATCACAGTAAAGATTTATATTGCCTTTTAACTGGCTTTTAGCTCATTTGAACTGCACAGTCATTTGAGCAACAGTAATATACAATCTTATGTCATTTTATTTTGCATTCAGCTTGTGTCTGATAAGAAGGTTATGGGGAAGTTTTGTGGCCAAAATTCCACAGACAGTTTTCACCCAGGTCACAAGCCCATGTGGTGTCTGGTAACCATCTCCAGCTCTTTTTTCTAAATGATGATTCATACCCTAAATCACACACAGGATTTAGTGCATCCTACCAGGCTGCTGGTGAGCATTTAGTTCCTGAATGGATCAGTGTTTTTGAATGAATCATTTCAGCGACTCACTCATAAAGTGAATCTGTTAAGTAAATTAAAAAGACTGAAAAAACGCCACCCACTGCCGCAACAATGTAACCTGCAAAAAGAGCCACTGAACAATGTATATAAAGTTCATTTCCCCTATTTAACTGTATAGAGTAAACGTTTTGTTATCCCAAATAGTAGGTGGATGTGTTACTGTAAATAAATTTCTGAAGAAATTACTGCAAAGGGGGAAAAAAATCCTGGCTGACTTAATTTTTAGTTAGTGTGGCTCTATGAGTATCTGCTAATTACATTATAATAAACTAACTTAACTTAAAAAAATATGCTGTCACTACTTACTGTACAAACCAGTGTAGCTTATCTAATGGCATTACCTTTCAATCAGTGATTTATCAGTTTTTAACCCTCTGGGATCTGAGGGGGTTTTCGGGCCCTGGAGAAGTTTTGACATGCCCTGACATTTGTGCTTTTTTCAGTTGCTTACAAACATTTGAATGTCTAAAGTTTAATAACACCGTAATCAGCACAAACTGGGCTACAATAATATGTGAGCAGCATGTATGTACATGATTGTGTTTTTGGGAAAGCAACATTTATGCGTGGTTAGTGAAAAACAAAAATGTTAAGGTCACTGAAATAAGGCCATAAAACACATACAGAACATTTGTTCACAAGACTTTTGAGAACTGGATATTGTAGCCTAGAGTTTTTGCTTCAAACTGATGTGAAAATAATTTCATCATCAGACCATGGTGAGTTGGAAGAACAACAGTGCAAAGAGAGAGACAAGAAATAGGAGTTTTGTATTGTTTACCCTAGTTAAAGCTTAATTAATATGGAAAAATCCACCAATGCTAGTAAAATATACAAATAAAAAGGTTAGTAATCATATTTGCTTCAAGTGTTTTTATTTATCCTGAAAGGTGGAGGGGAGGAACGGTGCAGGGGGGCTTCAACACAATTTTTTCCTAGGGCCTTCAAATGTCAAGAACTGGATTCTGCCAGATATGATACAACATCAGTGTGTTATGACACTTTTTTTTTAATTCTAACATTCAGTTTACCTTGCTTAATTATCTCTGCTCTTTTTTCTTTGCCACTACTGGCTGTGAAGATCCAAAACCCATGCTAAAGGTGTTCAGTTTATCAATGGATCCATCAACGAGTATCATTCAGTCATTGAGTATTACTGCAATGAGCCATTCTAAACATTTGAAGGAACTCCTAATGGTCAGACACTGATTTTCATTCATGTTATTTCACTATTTTCAACCACTTAAAGTAAATTTTTGCTCAGAGCTGTGGGAACGGAGCGAGGCCGGTGGAGTAGGCCCAGAGCCATAGAGAGAGTTGCGACAACTCCGTTCACTCCAATGGACCAGTTTTTTACAGCAATGGCGGATCGTGGAGCCGCTCAATAGTTCCCGGAAGTTAGCGCTCATACTATCAGCGCCGTAGAGATGCAGCAGAAGAGACCGCTGTGATGAACTTTTAAAAGGTAAGACATTTATAGAACAAAATTGTATATTATCAGCACAGTTAATCAAAATGCCATGTACATTAAAACAGATTATTATTAGATTATTCCTCACTTAATTAGTAGATTTACGGGATGTTATTCATTCTCTTCATGCAGTTTCATCCATCGTTGTGTAATTAAGGCTTTTAAAAGTGATTTTGCTGGTGGGGAGTTATTTAATAGACTTGGATATATTGAAAAGGATGCAGATGGACCTAAGTGAGAACGAAAAGTTTGAAATAGACGAGCAGTTTTCATTTCAGAATCATGCTAGGCTAAATTAAAAAAATATATACATTATATACCACTATATTATATATATATATATATCACAGTAAACCTGTAAATTATTACTGTATTTTATACTTAAACGTCTTAGCTACTAAAGAAGTACTGTGTTAAAGGAACAGACTGAGCAGTGATGCCACAGGACTGCAATGTGATGGA